AACTGTTTAGAATGTTGGAGGCAGGACTCAGGCAAAGCAGCCAGTGGATAGGGAGACCCTCTGAATGACAGATCAGAGAGCGAACTGATTTTGGAGCGTGTGGAATGTTCTAGAGAAGTGCCACCACCATTCGGCTTTTATTTATAAGGGAGATGTATTATATTTACATTTTTCATTTTCAGAATCATTACTAAAGGTAACTTTGTGAATTTTATTTGTACCTGCTCTATATTTTGTGACTAATATAGGTATAGGTTTTCTAGTACTCTGTACTTTTTTCACTTTCATTTAATGTAGGCCTTTGTCTGTTTCCTTAGTTGAGAAACAGGCCAAAAATGGGTGAGGGAGAAAAGTTGCAAATATCATCTTGCCAAATGAAAGAAATTTGGGCTGAGCTTCTCTTCCTTTAATATTTTAGCCTGGACTCTCTGTCAGAGAAAGGGGCAGTAGGTCCTAAAAGTCCTTATAAGTTGCGGAAGAGACTGGACAAGAAGAAGTGAAGGCTGAAGGACTCTGAATTGTGCCTTTGAAAAATTTTGAATTGAGATGCTTTGGGGTCTTTCCTTATATCAGTTAAATTTAAGATGTGGGAAAAGTTAGCAGAATATGTGATTCAGTTTGTAATGAGATTAATATGATCAAGACTAGATGTGTATTTAAGCTGATTAGAAGATCTCCCATCTTGGGTTTTTAGTCAGTAGTGGGTATCTTTTCTTTATCCCCTAAATGTAGTCCCCTCACTTATTTGTGTTATAGTTGTAGTTTTAATAAAAATGCAAAAAAAAAATCCCCATTGGGGAGCAAAAAAAAATTTTTTTAGCCTGGGTGGGGAAGAGAAGTTAACTATGGTCCCTGCCACACGGGGGGAAATTGAGGCAGGCAAAGTGCAGCTTTTAAAAGCCGCATCAAAAGAGACACACGGCAGCGGGATCAGATAGATCCCCTGAGCCGCCGCACAGTTCCTCCCCAGCATGATCAGATGCCAGGGGGGGGGAAGCCACTGAAGGGAGAGTGAGGCAGCCGGCTGCGCATGTGTGCGCATGCAGGAACGGGGACGGGTGTGCGCCGCTTCCCAGATGTTGTGGGAAAAATTGAGAAATCATTTGGAACCTGATAAAGCAGGAAAGCTTGTTTTTCTTTTCCAGATTATGAACAAACAAGAAGATGAAGATGAGTGAGCTACGGAGGACAGTATTTTAAGTTTTTCATGTGTGGACTAGACAGATAGCCTAAGCTTTTTAAAAATATATATTTTGTTTAACCACATCAGTAAATAAACATGGATGTTTAAGCAAATACCAGAATACATATGCTATAATGTTACTGTTTTAGTTAAATATTTAACTAAACTATTTAATTTAAACTATTTAAATTGTTATTATTACTGTAATGATTATTTTTCTCCTTCCAGCAAAGTATAATAGAAAAGTTGTCCAAATATGAATGATAAACTGATTGAACTGGAGATAATTCACCTCCCAATAATTTCATAATTACCTATCTGTAATGTGTTTCTAATAGTATAACCAAATCAGTAATTTTTTATATAACTGTAAAACTAATCTGAAAAGTTGTTATTCTAAAAATGAAACCTTCATCAGTTTGTAAATATTGAGATTATACCAGTAAGAGTGAATCTTTATGTAGAAAACCATTATTTAAATCTAGTCTTACTGACTAGTGATTTAAGTCACGATTTAAATCGATTTTATTTAAATCAAATCCACCCTGCTTTGAACAAAATAAAATATATTATATACAAGAATACTGCACAATGGATCGACAATGAGTTTGTGATGAACCTGATATTTATATTTCCGATGCTCCTTGGAAGAAAATGAGTTCCTTCTTGTCCCGAGAGTAGATGATCCCAAATATTTAGTGGATATAAATTAAACTGGGAGAAATTAAAATCTACTTGCGAGGGAAGTTAATTTTTGTAACTGAATGCAGACTCTCTTCATTAAAAGTGGAAGTATCAGCATGTAGTTGCATAGGTTGTCTATGATGTCTTTTTTTATTTAACAATACAAAGACTTAGGTCATTTAAGTAAGAAATAAAGTGGCTGTAGTGTGGCAATACCTGCACAGATGACACTGGCATCTTCACTATGAATGCAGTTGTGTGTCCTCCATGGGGCATGATTGCATTTCAGCAAGGAGTCTTCAGATCCATTGCACTGAACATCATCCAGGATAATATTGCCAGGGCCTTGACCAAAATGGGCACTTCCAGGTGCTGAAATTGCTGGTCCACATCCAAGCTGTTTGCATACAACCTGCGCTCCATTTATGTCCCAGAAATCATCGCAAACTGTTCCCCAGCTGCCAGCATAATATAGTTCGAGGCGACCCTCACATCTGTTCCTCCCATTGGTTAATCGTAACGGCAGCTCCATGGGTTCTATTGGATAATATATGGGAAATTGACACTGAGAATGGCATTAACATTTATATTAAGTGCTCTTGCATGCAGATTTTTCAGAATGTTGGTTTTTATTTTGATTTATTTATGGGCTGCCTTCCCATGCAGTGGATTCTGAAGGCAGCTACAAAATAGATTGAAACAGAAGAATTTAATTAAACACTGTAAAATATTAAAACAAAAAAATAGGGTCAATTGAGAAAAATACTAGTCCCATAATCAATTTCAATCCTGCTTTTGTAAAACAAAAAAGTCTTCAGATTGGTCCAGAAGGCCTATATTTCTACTATAGGAATTTTGTAGTGATGATGGGTGTAAGTAAGCCACATGAACACTGTTAATACATTTAAGACTGTGATCTATTTGCTCAGACATGCTATACTTGTTTAATTCTCAGTGATAAACTGCAGATTGTTCCCATTAGATGGGAGTGGGAGTTGAATGGGTGGTGAAGACTATCCTATCCTCATTGCTTCTATCGTTCTCGACCCCACATGATTCTATGGCATGAAGATAAGCATGGATTAATGGATTTTTGATTCTATTTTGTGGGATTACTCCAATGGCTTTGGGAAAATCTGGGGATTCCACTGAAGGAGTCCAGAAACTGGTGTGTCAACTGGCATATTAATGAGTTAAGATAAGCAACTGTTGAGGTGACATGAGAACTAGATTGCACAGGACTGGGTTCTACACATAAACAGGAACAGGCTTCCCCCTTGATGGTTTGCACACACAATCATGCTATACAGGAGAACTCTTCCTTGAATCCTAGCCTGAAACTCATCATTGGAAGTCCCCAGAAATCACTGCTGATTGCTGAGAAAACAAAAAGTCCCAATGACACAGGTGCACACTTGCAACTCTGATAAACAAGGAGACCAGTCTCACGATTGATAAGAAGAGATCTGACCACGCATTATTTTGTGATACTGGGAAGACATTATGGGTATGACATTATGGCTATGGAGTTTTGCAGTTCCCTGGGTGCCAAAACAAATGACGAATGAGGGGGAAAGGAAGTCATGTCTCTGTCGCCACCTCTAAGAAGTGTGGTGCCACCATGATACTGACCCAGTCTAAGGGAAATGTAGTAAACTTTGGGAGGGAGGGAGGTTTGGCAACAGGTTTACTTTTTGAGCAGCTTTTCTTTTCTTTTTCATTTCCCATTTCCCAATAGGCTGTTCAACCAGAAAAGACAGCAATATAACAAAAAAGTAATTGCTGTTCAATTTTCATTAAGAAATGCTCAATAGTTTCTACTGAAGACCTATCACAGATACAAACTCTAGATCCCATTCTTCACCTGTAAATCGTCCATGTAAGACAGCAAGTAGAAGTGAATTCATTCTTGAAAGGAAAAAATCTCCAATAGCATGGCATCATAATACTATAGAAATAATATGGTAACTGGTATTGATTAAAATATGAATATCCAGAGTACATGGGTGAACATACACACCACTTCACGTCTTGAAGACTGCACCATTCTACTGCCACAAGTATTTATCAGGTATTTTTTCAGCTGGTTACCAAATGGGTTGCTGATTGAGTTATCTGAAAAAGGCTGCCCCCCAAAATCCTGAAAATATTAGGGATTTTTCGGGGCCACTGAATAGCTGCAGTTAAAGGGCACTTAAAGGGCTCTCAGTCCTTTTAAATGCCTTTGAAGTAAACTCTCAGCTTGGAGAATGCATTTAAAGAGACTGAGAGGCCTTTAAATGCCTTTGGAGTTCATTCACTATGGAGTCACAGAGCTTGAAGAAGGCATTTAAAGGAACTGTGATCCTTTTCAATGCCTTCCCCCCACTGGAAACAATGGAGGATGGGGGGGACCTTATTCAGGGGCCCATAGACTTGGACACCCTAGTCCAATCTTTTTGAAACTTGGGGGGGGGGGTTGAGGAGAGGCATGAGCAGCTGTGCCGTTGTGCTGCAGGCTTGGTGCCTCGAATTAAAAAAACAGCCCCCAGAGCCCCAGATACCCCCAGATCAATTCTCCATTATAACCTATGGGGAACAATGACTATAACAGTCCTCATAGAGTATAATGGAGATGACAAAATCTGGCAATCCCAAATTCATTCCCAATTCCCTTACCCACATTATATTGTATATATTGTATTCTGAATGGAGAAAATAGAACTCACTTGTGAAAGAGGTTGATGTTGTTTCTATCTGAGGAGCTGTTTACATGAAACAAAAAACACCCCAAACCCCCCCCCCCAAACCCCGGAACAGAGGGAACCCATGAGGGGAAGTCTGAAATGATCCCACCAGTAGCACAGTCATAAGAAGTGCCCCAACACATGTGGAAACACGAAAGGCCACTGCAGTCTGAAAAACCCCAGTGTCTTCTATCCTTTCCCCAGTTCCTAGAAGCCTGAAACCTGTTTGTTCAATCAAGCACTAAAAGCACAAGGATGTCTTTTTCTCAGGATTCCTGGAACTAGCTGACTGCATATACCCATAGACCTAGCACCAGAAACCCTAACCTAGCCATATCCAATGCACAGGGGAGAAGAAAAGCTGGAGTTACAGAAATGGACATGCAAATACTTCTGCTGCTAAGAAAAAGAAGAAAAGAAGAGAAATTGAGAGAAACTGCCACTGCCACCATAGAGGGGGAGTGGGGGGGAGGAGGAAAGAGCTGCCAGAGTGTTAGCAGCACTTAATGGGTAACAGAGTGTGTGTGTGGGGGGGGGGGGGCTTATAAACTGAGGCAAGCAAATGCAACATAATTGGGGACTCTCTTTAGAAAGCATTTTCTCCTGAATACTCTCTCCTTTTCTTTTACTGGCCTGAACAATCTGAATTGAGATGGAAGGATTTGCCAAAATAGTATAACAGAGAGAGCCCAAAACATTTTCATTGCTTGAGTGTAAAATATAATAAATAAATGATAATTCACTGTTCTATATTTGGGTAGGGTTGCCATTTGCCTCCCACCCCCACCCTCAGTCACCTGCCCTCATTAATTTTAGTGGTAAGAGAAAAATGGGGGAGTGGGTACAGTGTAGATGGTGACACTGGCCTTTAACATATTATTTACCATAGAGCTTGGTCTTTACAACAGAGACTGGAGGAATTCCTAGAGAATAACCCAGAAATGTCATCAAGGCCAGTGATGTCTACACCTGGAAGTAACATCACTTCTGATTTAAGGTCTAGGAATTCCCCCAACCTCTATAGTAAAGACCATAGATCTGGGAGAATTCTTAGAGGAAATGAAGGAAGCGACATCACCCAAAATCCACCCTTCCCAGGCCCTCACCCCAAATCTCCTACATGTCACAAAATCTGTGTGGCGTCTCCCCCACCCCAGCAATCCACTCTTAAGAAGGGATGCATGCACTTCTGCAGTGGAATCCCTGGGGATGGTTTGCAAGATAGGCGAGCTATTGTGTATTCTTTCCACATGAATATATTGTTACACGGAGGCATCTCTTGAGAGGGAGATGTGCATGCAAAGCATCCCAGTTTCCAAATGACAGACAATTTGTTTTATTTCATTCCCAATTCCCTTACCCACATTATATTGTATATATTGTATTCTGAATGGAGAAAATAGAACTCACTTGTGAAAGAGGTTGATGTTGTTTCTATCTGAGGAGCTGTTTACATGAAAAAAAGAAAAGAAAAGTGAGACTCTGTCTATGTCAAGTGGCTCTGTAGCTCTTCAATCAAACATATATGGGAGGTTATTCCATAATCATGGGGCTGCCACTGAGAAGCAGGCCCTCCCCCTCTGATCTTAATTCCTGGGCAGAAACATATGGGAAAAGATGGTCCTGCAGATACCACAATCCCAAACCATGTAGGGCTTTAATGGGCAAAGCCAACACCTTGAATTGGGCTCAGGAGTGGATCAATTGCCACTGTGATTACTGTAGTATCAGAGTCACATGCTCCCAGTAGAGGGCCCCAACTAGTAGTTTAACTGCAGCATTTGGCACTAGTTGCAGCTTCCAAGTGCTCTTCAAGGGTAGCCCCAAGCACAGCACATTGCAATAATCCAGTCTAAATGTAACAAATGGGTCAATATTTCTAGATCAGACTGAACAAGAAGCGGGACCTGCGATACTCGCGAGGGGGGGGAGTATTCCCCGCGGCTCCCAGGTGGCTGACTTGCTGGAGCACAGAGGAGGTGGTGGCAGCAGCAGCCACAGGTGAGCCCAGCAGGCAGTCTGCTGGGCTTGCCAGGCTTCCCCCCCACACCCGACAGCAGCAACGGCCGCAGCTCTAGCCACCGGCACTCCAAGGCTTCTCACTGCCTCCCTCCCACTCCCTCCACCGCCGCCACTACCAGCAGCAATGGCGGCAAGCCCTGCATGGTTTCTAGCCACCAGGCCGGCCAGGCCAGGCTCCCCCCCAGCAATGGCTATGGCTCCCAGCCACTGGCGCGCCAAAGCTTCTCCCCTGTGTGCCGCCACCGCCAGCAGCAACGGCTCTGCTACAGTGCCTAGTGGTACTTTTTTACTTTTGGGGGAATTTAAGTTGGGATTGCCCCAAATGTGCAGGAAAATTTATTTGCCCCCTAGGTGCCCCCAATGTGCGGATTTAGATATCCGCACACAGGGGGCGCCTTGGCTATTAGATGAGGAATTGGTGCAGTTGATGCACCAGCCAAAGGTGTGCTAAAGAACTCTGAACAACCACAGCCACCTAGTTTTCTAAGGTGACAATGACAGAAATGGAATACATTGTCTGAGCCATTTTTCTCTGCTTTGACTAGGACTTTTTATTGACCAAATGCAGCCATTTTAGAATTCTTCATGCTTCTCTGCCTTTTTAAGAAGCACACTCACAAGACCAAGGGGCACACATGAGAAGACGTGGTTGGGACTTGCCCTGCACTGCTTTTTGTGGTCCCAGGTCTCTGAAGGCAGCTGGCAAGGGAAGCATGCAGCTGACCTCTCCCCCAGGCCACATGGTCAGGCTGGGGGGGGGCAGGGTCTGAATCAAGAGCTACTGGGACCCTACATGAATACACGTCCATCAGGTGGGCTGGGAGAAGGACGGAGGTGCGGGGCGGCTTTGCCTGCCCACCCCTTCCCTATATAGCCAAGAGCCACGTTCTCCTGGGCCTCCATTTGCTGTGGCTTTCCCACTGTGATTTGGTTGTCACAGTATATATATTACTATTTTCCATTACTTTCACAGCTCTGGGTGGTTTGGGCCATGGGATGTATCCTTTTGGTTAGGGAGGCAGTGCCTGTTTGCCCACATCTTGTGGTTCTGGGACTCCCTTAAGGGGGCTTGAGGATGAGCCAAATTCAGCAGCATGCCCAGTTCAGGGGCTGTTGGCAGTGCTGTCACCACCAGTTGGCAAGGGGACCACACAGCAGTTGGCACTCATTCAGTTCCGGGGTGGGGGGTGTTTGCTACTACTTGTTGGCTCACCATCAGGTGGGCTGGGGTTGTGGGGTTATAAGGCGGCAGGTGGGTCACTCAATTCAAGATCTGTCCCTTTGCTGTGCCAATGCTCCTATGGTGTAATCAATATAGCTGTGGCCATTTTATTCTTGAAGGTGTTGGTGTCAGTTCTTTGCCTGTGCCCCCCCCCATGCCCTGGGGTTCCACAAAGAAATTTACAGAAATAGGAATGCAGATGCACAAACATACACGCTATTTTGCCAAAAATCAAACAGGCAATCTTATTTGCTTTAGAATTAGATGACTATATGAGGTGGAACCTACAGACAACACACACCATTAAATCTAATTCTACCTCCCAGCTAACTTGATCAATTGCCTTTCCTCCACTGTTGCAAGACCATCTGTATCAAATCATATACATATACATATAGGGGAGAAACACCCCCAGAGATTCAAGAAACGCTTCTCTTCAGACTAGGAGAGCATCTATTAGTGTGATCCAGTGTTGTATACTGGTTGGAATGTCCAGCTAGGATCTGGGAGTCCCAGGTTTAAATCCCCACTGCAATGAAGCTCACAAAATGACCTTAGGCCAGACATTCCTTCTCGGCTTCAACTACCACACAGGGTTATAGTGAGGATAAAATGAAAGAAGGGAATACCACGTACCCTTCCTCATCTCCATGGAGCAAAGGTGGGATAAAAATATACTAATTAAAGAAATAATACGATCACTATATCACTTGGCTATGAAATATTAGAACCTAGTCCCTTTGACAGTAAGGAACAGGTCTGTTTGAATGCATACCAAATTTGATAAAATAGTAAGGATCAATGACTTACTGGATGTTTGTGCAACAGGTGATGCACTAGGAGTTACTCTTCCTGCTAAATAAAAAGGGGATGATTAATAAAATTAAGATACAGCTATCTGATCAATTATATTGCATGTCATCCAGGAGATCAAGAACTTAACAGAAAAAAAGTCAAACAAATCAAACTATACTAGCTATGGAAAAATTCTCTATGTTCAGCTGGCTGGACACGTTTTCCACTTAGAGAAAAAATCTCAAATGGTGATATAAAAACCAAGCAACACAATGAGGAATTTCACATTACCCTTTTTTTGATCCGTCATGGAGTAAACTGGTATAGGGCTGCCATTTCACACATGGCTTTCCCCTTCCGGTAAAGAGCTGGATCTGAAGCGGTTTGCCATTTCAGACTGCACTGTTTTTTCCCGCTTTACCCCCGCCATTTTTTGCCCGTGCGGGCGATCTCTGGCTTTTTTTTTGAACATTCGCTTTAGAGTGCTATAGCGCTGTAGCTATAACAAAACACTCCAGGCATTACAATGGGGTTATGATGCTGTTGCATTATACTGCTATAACGCTATAGCGCTATAATGCTATAAAGTGAACATTAAAAAAAACCCGGAGATTGCCCGCACAGGCGAAAAACGGCAGGGAAAAAGCGCATTGGAACCGGAAGAGGAAACTGAAGACTACTTGGAAGTGGTTGACAGGTAAAGATTAAGAAATTGCTTAAAAAGACAACTTGGAATGTATAATATTCCTGGGTCTAAAGAGAAGACTAGAAGAATGAGAATGATAAAACAACTTCATTATGAACAGCCATGAAACAATACATATAGCAATTCATATCAGTGCAATCCTAAACAGAGTCATACTTTTCAAACTTACAGCAGCGAAAGGGCTAAGAAGACTGACACTCTGTTTAAGATTGCATTGTATATCGAATTCTAGAAATAACAACATCTAAGTGTTCTTAGGAATTTTACACTACCAGTTCCCTAACAATATTAAAAGCAAGGGACACAATGTCTCTATAACATAAATTCTTTTTATAATTTTATAATTACTAAATTTAATAATTACTGGTGACTAAAACTAATCTGTATTAAAATTAAAGTTAAGAAATATAATGGTAAAGAAGGTGAAACTTTATAAGGGATTTCTAAGATCGATGGATAAAAAGTGGACATTGCAGTAGATATTTGATTTAGATGCTCCATGCTAATTTCCAAGAGAGCACTTCAAAACACTAAGCTGTATTATTTGATTTATAAGGAAAATTAAAACTGTACATGGCATTATTTATCTGCCTTTGTCCTTCTTTAATATCATTCTTCATGGGATCGGCAAGAAAGAAAAAACATAACTGAGGTTACAAGATAAATGGTTGTTGTGTGGCCATACCTTCACAGGTGACACCAGCATCTTCATGATGGCCGCAGTCATGTCTGCCCCAAGGTGCATGAGGGCACTGAGACAAGGAGGGCTCGTTTCCCCTGCAATTAACATCATCCAAGAAAATAGGGCCTGGACCTGGACCATAATGAGCATTTCCAGGTGCTGATAGCGCCGATCCACATCCAAGCTGTTGGCACACGACCTGTGCATTGTTTATGCTCCAGCCATCATCACAGACTGTTCCCCATGTGCCATTGTGATATACTTCAACACGACCTGCACATCTGTTGGCTCCATTCACTAGTCGTAAAGAACCTTCAGATGGAACTTTTTTAAAAAACAAAGTGTTACTTGGTTTTATTGGACTGATCAAGGTAATGTCACTATCAATGCCAAATCAGTCCTTAATAACAGTTCGATAATCTGTATATCTAATTCCCAAAGTCCCCTCTGCATGCAGATACTTATTTCCGCAGATAGGGGGCATACTCTCCCACAACAAATTTTTATACAGACTCATGGGACTCTGGGTCTGCAGAAATATCCAAAGAGTTAAAAAAAAACCTCAGGGGGGTTGAATCCCCCCCCATACCTTTTGAAACGGCACTTGAAGGGATCTACTCCAGGCCCCACTGCACTGACAGTAAGAGATAGACTGGCTGAAGGGGGGGGAAGAGAAAGAAAGGAGAGGAAACAAAAAGCAGAACTGGATCTGGGATAGGGAAGGATTCCTCCTGCAGTATGAAGGGGGTTTGGAGCCAGTCCTGGGACTAGGATTGCCTGCTTTATCTTGGGGAATTCCTGGAGATTCTGTGGTGAAGTCTGAGGAGTGCAGAGTTTGGGGAAGGGTGAGGCCTCAGCTGGATATAATGCCACAGAGTCCTGGCATTATTTATTTGCCTTTGTCCTTCCTTAATATCATTCTTCATGGGATCAACAAGAAAGAAAAAACATAACTGAAGTTACAAAAGAAATGGTTGTTGTATAGCCATACCTTCACAGATAACACCAGCATCTTCATGATGACCGCAGTTATGTCTGCCCCAAGGTGCATGAGGGCACTGAGACAAGGAGGATTCGTTTCCCCTGCACTGAACATCATCCAAGGCAATAGAGCCTGAACCTGGACCATAACGAGCATTTCCAGGTGCTGATAGCGCCGATCCACATCCAAGCTGTTGGCACACGACCTGTGCATTGTTTATGCTCCAGCCATCATCACAGACTGTTCCCCATGTGCCATTGTGATATATTTCAACACGACCTGTGCATCTGTTGGTTCCATTCACTAGTCGCAAAGAACCTTCAGATGGAACTTTACAAAAGAAAGAAAGTGTTACTTGTTTTTTTTAATGAAGGTAAATCATTCCTTGTCAACAGTTAGATAATGCTCATCTAATATGCCCCAACCACTGATGCAGAAGAGGCTGAAGTGGACCGGTTCTATGAAGACCTACAACACCTCCTAGAATTAACACCAAAAAATGATGTCCTCATCATCATAGGGGACTGGAATGCTAAAGTAGGAAGTCAAAAGGTAACCGGAATAACAGACAAGTTTGGCCTTGGAAAGCAAAATGAAGCAGGGCAAAGGTTAACAGAGTTTTGTCAAGAGAACACACTGGTCATAGCGAACACCCTTTTCCAACAACCTAAGAGACGACTCTACACATGGACATCACCAGATGGGCAACACCGAAATCAGATTGACTATATAATTTGCAGTCAAAGATGGAGAAGCTCTATCCAGTCAGTAAAAACAAGACCTGGAGCTGACTGTGGCTCAGATCATGAGCTACTCATTGCAAAATTCAGACTTAAACTGAAGAAAATCGGGAAAACCACGAGGCCATTCAGGTTTGACCTAGATCGCATCCCTGATGAATATACAGTAGAGGTGAAGAATAGATTCAAGGGTCTGGATTTGATAGATAGAGTGCCTGAAGAACTATGGACAGAGGTTCGTGACATCGTACAGGAGGCAGCAATCACCACCATACCAAAGAAAAAGAAATGCAAGAAAGCAAAATGGCTTTCTGATGAGGCTTTACAAATAGCAGAGGAAAGAAGGAAAGCGAAAGGCAAAGGCGAAAAGGAAAGATTTACCCAACTGAACGCAGATTTCCAGAGAACAGCAAGGAGAGATAAGGAGGCCTTCCTGAATGAACAGTGCAAAGTAATAGAAGAAAACAATAGAATGGGAAGGACTAGAGATCTCTTCAAGAAAATTGGAGAAATCAAGGGAGCGTTCCATGCAAAGCTGGCCATGATAAAGGACAAAAACGGTAGGGACCTAACAGAAGCAGAAGAGATTAGGAAAAGATGGCAAGAATACACAGAAGAACTATACAAGAAAGACCTCGATGTCCTTGACAACCACGACGGTATAATCACTGACCTCGAGCCAGACATCCTGGAATGTGAAGTTAAATGGGCCTTAGAAAGCATTACTAACAACAAAGCTAGTGGAGGTGATGGTATCCCAGCTGAGCTATTCAAAGTCTTAGAAGAGGATGCTGTTAAAGTTCTGCACTCCATTTGCCAGCAAATTTGGAAAACGCAACAGTGGCCACAGGATTGGAAAAGATCAGTATACATTCCAATCCCAAAGAAGGGCAATGCCAAGGAATGTTCAAACTATCGCACAATTGCACTCATATCACACGCTAGCAAGGTCATGCTCAAGATCCTACAAGCTAGGCTTCAACAGTACGTGGATAGAGAACTACCAGAAGTACAAGCTGGGTTTCGAAGAGGTAGAGGAACGAGAGATCATATTGCCAACATTCGCTGGATTATGGAGAAAGCAAGAGAGTACCAGAAAAATATCTACTTCTGCTTCATTGACTATGCTAAAGCCTTTGACTGTGTGGATCACAACAAACTATGGCAGGTCCTTAAAGAGATGGGAGTACCAGACCACCTCACATGTCTCTTGAGAAACCTGTATAAGGGCCAAGAAGCGACAGTTAGAACCGGATACGGAACAACTGATTGGTTCAGCATAGGAAAAGGAGTACGACAAGGATGTATACTGTCACCTTGCTTATTTAATATATATGCAGAGTACATCATGCGAAATGCTGGCCTGGATGAATCACAAGCGGGAATTAAGATTGCTGGGGAAAAGATCAACAACCTCAGATATGCAGATGATACCACTCTAATGGCTGAAAGTGAAGAGGATCTAAAGAACCTCTTGCTCAGAGTAAAAGAGGAGAGCGCAAAAGTGGGCTTGAAGCTCAACATCAAAAAAACTAAGATCATGGCATCCGGCCCCATCACTCCTTGGCAAATAGAAGGGGAAGCTGTGGAAGTAGTGACAGACTTCACGTTCCTGGGATCCCAGATCACCGCAGACTGTGACTGCAGCCATGAAATTAAAAGACGCCTGCTCCTTGGGAGGAAAGCGATGGCGAACCTAAACAGCATGATAAAAAGTAGAGACATCACCCTGCCAACAAAAGTCCGCATGGTCAAAGCAATGGTATTCCCAGTAGTCATGTATGGCTGCGAGAGCTGGACTATAAGGAAGGCCGAGCGCCGAAGAATAGATTCTTTTGAACTATGGTGCTGGAGGAGACTCTTGAGAGTCCCTTGGACTGCAAGAAGAACAAATCAGTCAATCCTCAAAGAAATCAACCCTGACTGTTCCCTGGAAGGCCAGATAATGAAACTGAAGCTCAAATACTTTGGCCACCAAATGAGAAGGGAGCACTCACTGGAGAAGACCCTGATGCTGGGAAAGATTGAAGGTCAAAGAAGACGGGGACGGCAAAGGATGAGATGGTTAGACAGTGTCA